GAAAATAATAATAATAATAATAATAATAATAATAATAATAATACTTCGCTTACTAGAAATGACTCGATATCCGGTCGCGTCTCGCACTGGTGCAGTAAATCAAGTAACGGATCAGGCGGTTGCATGGATAACAGTTTCAACAAAGACATGGATGGCTCTTTGGACTCCACGAGCACACCAGTGGGGCTGGTACATATGATAAGGTAGAACACATTCAGTATGGCTGATATCAGCGTTTCGTTTTCAACCTCCGTTTTCTCGCTAGTCTGTATGCGGGTACGAACCACGTGAGGTGGAAGGCGAATTGTCCAATCCGTGATAGCAAGAATGAATGAGGTAAGTAGCTAAGGGTGACAAAATGAGCAATCTCAGTTAAATAACTTGGAAGGTTCAGCAACGGGTGTAAATTCCAGAATGTAAGCTAACGGAGGTTTACCCGTGGATGAGACCCAATAGCCCAACAGAAAGAACTAAAAGCTAGTTTAAAAACGTCACTAAAAAACCTCACTTAGAATGAGGGGCAAGTTGTGGTTAAGAATGCCAGCACATCTAAAAAGACTAATATTGATTTCTATCCGTAAACTAGCGACTGGATTACACCTTGAGTATCCATTTTGGCCCTGTGTGTACACTGGTCGATTTGTACAAAAGACATCTTTGGTGACTGATGTAGAGCAAAAAGACACGCATTTCCATAAATTAGCAAACTATTGGTATGTTTCTCAAAGGACGAGATGCGTCAGGCTAACCGAACACAAGCGTCCTTCGGTCGGTGCAGTACACAGTAAACACTCAAACGACTCCTGGGGAGGTGTCCAGGAGAGTCGGAAACGCCCCTCTCGCGTATCCTGATTTTAGGAGGATTTCTGCGGCTGAAAGGATGCTGTGGGTTATACAGCTTGGAAGGCCAACCTCTTCACTAGCTGAGATGAGTTCGTCAATAACAGAATACCGAGATCCCTCAAGCGCGTCAGAACCCTTCAAGAGCACAGAAAGAAACAGGCCCCTATGCTAATCTGTACATTGTGGTTCCAGCTGTAGCTAAACGAAGTAACATGCAGCCAAAATGTAAGGAAAGTAAACAGGACGATCACTGACGCTTTGCATCGTCTTCAGCTCCGGGGAGATGCAAACTGAGCTTGTGGGAACAAAAATTCGAAATGGTTGTTATGTCATGTGGAGCAGGTAACAATGTGACCGGTGTTCACCTGGTATGTAGAAACCAATGAGCAGATGACAGTGAAAACGGCAAATTAGAAACGAGTTATTCCATTCATTTATGCTAAGAAGGAATACCTCGGTCTCATAAGCGTAAACATTCAGTGCACTAATCCTGTGTTGTAGCCGAGCGACTAACGGTGTGGTACCCGTAATAAGAGTCTCGTGATATGGGGGACCTCCTAGCTAGCAGCTACAAACAAGATATAATGAGTACCAAACTGGAAGACAGGAGAAATAACGCAGCACCACGAAGAACGATAACTGCACACTACTTACGCGTTTTTCCACGGGAATGATCTTTTCCACATCTATCGACACCCAAAGGTAACTGAGTGACCAGATGAGCGTCTTGTAAATAAGGGAGAAGAGAGGACACGGAATGCAAATCATATCGAAAGAAAACATAATCAACGAAGATCAATTGCAAAGGATGTAAGAGAGCACGGAGACTACCACTGATAGCGGTATGGTTTACATAACCAGCAGTAGTCACCTAACTACGAGAACCACTGTAGTTACGTGTAAAATGTTATCAAAGACCATATGCTTCTGTAGTGTCAGCAGCACAGGTAAGAATACGGTAAGAACTGAACAAGAAACCCTGGTTGCACAACCTGCATGCTGAGTGGTACTAGTAATCATCATCATTATCATCACCGACAGCATGACATCAATGATTATCACTAATGCTTTGCGGCCGTACAACCATGATTTTTTCGAAAGGCTTATTGTGAAGAAAAGAATGAGGGTGGACGGGGAGGGGACTTGGTGTCAGCTAACGACAATCACTCCGAGGTGCCTACACCTACAGACTCTCACTCAGGGAATGTGAATGGAAACTGACAACAAGAACGCCACTGACATCGAGTAGAGCCATATCTGGATGTAAGAGAGCACGGAGACTACCACTGATAGCGGTATGGTTTACATAACCAGCAGTAGTCACCTAACTACGAGAACCACTGTAGTTACGTGTAAAATGTTATCAAAGACCATATGCTTCTGTAGTGTCAGCAGCACAGGTAAGAATACGGTAAGAACTGAACAAGAAACCCTGGTTGCACAACCTGCATGCTGAGTGGTACTAGTAATCATCATCATTATCATCACCGACAGCATGACATCAATGATTATCACTAATGCTTTGCGGCCGTACAACCATGATTTTTTCGAAAGGCTTATTGTGAAGAAAAGAATGAGGGTGGACGGGGAGGGGACTTGGTGTCAGCTAACGACAATCACTCCGAGGTGCCTACACCTACAGACTCTCACTCAGGGAATGTGAATGGAAACTGACAACAAGAACGCCACTGACATCGAGTAGCAGCCATATCTTTCATCGTATCCAACCAGGCGCAGTGGAGATCTCGCGGTCTCCATCCTGAAAGGCGAGTCGCACCAACATCATCCAGACGTTTCATAATCTCTTTCGTATTCCTCTGCCAGGTCAAGCAAGGGTTGGTAACCTCTCCGCTGCCGCCACCACTCTGAACTGGGCACAGAAAACAGCACTCTCTTCGGCAAGCGATGGTTCGGCATAGGCAATACGTGGCATAACCAACGCAGCTTCTGGTGCTGGACACATTCTTCAATAGAAGTTCCTGTTGGACGACCAGAAACTCGCTTTCTAATTGCATCGTTACGGATTATCCGACACATACCTACACGAGCTGTGATACTGGGACAACGTGGTATGAAAGACTTCGAGTGTCGCGCGGACACCCCGCAGTATAGCTCAGTGGGTCGTGGAGGCACACAAAATGTCACACTACAGTAAGGTGTAATCTCAGGTGTAATTCCAGAATAATAGGGTAGACAATTGAAGGACTGCGCTGGTTACCTTATTATTCTGGAGTGGTGCAAGAATGATAGGGAAACTAGTGCAATCCCTCAATCATTCACCTTATTCCCTAACCCGACTGTTTAGCCGTGACAAAAAGACGATGTTTTCACTGCACTACACAAACAAATAAAGCCAGCGGTCTTAAACTTCTCGAACGGAACTTTCTGGAGCGCTATGTATCGGATGGCAAGACAGGCGAATGTGGTGTTGACCATAAGTTACGATACTATCTTAACAAATAGCGCGCTCGGCGACATAGTACAATACAGTCCGGATTTCGGTTGTCACGCGACACGTTTGCGTTTTCACACGATTGCATGGGAAAGCCCATGAAGTTTTTATAGAAAGAATCGATCAGTAGTGAGATGTGTGTCATCCGGACGAGTTATTCTGAATCGGATAACCGTGCTAGCTTTAGATTCGCACACGATATGGTTGCATGGGAGTGTTGTGCCATTGCGGTATTGCTAATGGGTAGGCTGTGATTGGCTAGAGACGCTGCAGGGTAGGGTTGCTAATTGATGTCAGTAGCCAAAAAGTGTTTGGAGGTGTCTGTCCCTTGGAATGCTTGTATTAGGGTGGTAATAGACTCCTCCCACCTTTTTTATTTTCCGGGGCTTCCAAATGAATTATGGTTATACGGAAGTAGAGCACCGGTGTGCTACGTTTGATAAGGACGGTACGTCGCAACAAGTTCTCGTGAGAAGCGTGCACCGATGTCATGGACGATAGCAGTTTGCACTGGAAAGGGACGAATAAGCTGCCGATCATACACAACCAAGAAAGGATACGCCACGGATGCCGCTTGTTCTCCGCGATCTATCAAAGCTGGCCCAAGCTTCTGATATTTTCTATGGACACAGGGATATGGTGTGAGGAGGCTTTTGAAACTACAAGACGACGATAGCAATGACGCGACTGTGTGCTACGGAGTTAGTTGTTAGTGTAGCAGGCGTTCTTGACTGGGGTAGGATAAAATGACTCGTTTGCAAACAAAAATTCTGCCACTATAGTACTGAGACCAATGGTGCGTATAGTGGACACCCATTTTGCGGTTCATATTCATCAAACTGTGATAGAAGCATGTCAACAATGTGCCGACGTTATCGTCCATGCTCAACGTACATCCAACGTTTCGGAAAACAAACATTCGGTTTTTTGTTGGGCGACAAATCGCTCTTGACACAAAAGTTTCGTCAGGCTAAGCGACAGAGTTGCAAGATTGTTCGAGTTTTGAGGCAAAAGCGGAACAATTCAGTGAAATCTTTTCCTACAGGCAGGCCAAATCAGTGTTAGGTACTGGCTGAGAATTCGACTGTGAGTGGTGTGGGTCAGCAAGTGTCAGGATTGATGGGCTAGGAGAAAATCTGTATGAATTTGGGTCGCGTCTACGGTGCAACTGTTCCGATTCACTTCAAGTCTCGTCTACAGCTTTTGTTGGTCACTGCTAGTGTGCAACAGTTGGGTAAATGACAGGGGTTACATGAATTTCAATCGAGTTGAGTTGCCTAAAACTCCTAAGTGACAACCGCACACACTGCTATATATACGCTCGGATGCTTGATGAGCACGAAAGCCCAGCCGTCAGTCGCTTTGTGTGAATAGAAGTCCCCATTGTCCATAGTCTGTACCTGTGGCGCCCGTCAGACCATCGCCAAGTCTTTGACCAGGACGCAATATTCGTGTGCAGTTCTTAGTGGTTTGATCAGTCTTCACTGAGTTCAGGAATCCCCCGCGTGTAGACTTTGGTGCAGCTGTTGCATTTGGTGTTATGCACAAAATCTCTAGTTCTTCAAGACTAGAGGCAATTTCTGAGTTGTACCAATGTTAATCATAACGTAGTTCCCTTCTGAAATGCCACTCTAATGTTAAACAGTTTCAACATCCATCGAACAACCTCAAACGGTGCTGCTATATGTGGAATGAATGCTGTCCTACTTGATTCCTTGCAGACTTTTGAATTCAATATATCCAGGGAGCACATCTGAGTTCTCAACTGTAGGAATAAGCATACATAAGCATTTTTACTACATATGGAAACTGCGGCTTTTCACTGTTCGCAGGTGCTCCTGGAATTTCACACTGCAAATTACAAAGAACGACGGTATATACAACATGATTAGGGTACCAAGCCTGGTCACTGACACACCGGTGTGCGCGGGGTGTGCACATTGCAGATCCATGAAGTGTGTCCATAAGGTGTTTCGATACCAGCGAAATTTTGGAGTTTTGTAGAGGCGCGCACGTGGGGGCTGCTTGCGCTTGGCTTGCCATAGTGAAAAACGGTAATGGACGACGGATACATTACATACGTATCATGCACACATGTGTTTTAATTGCGATCATGTTCGGATCAAGTGTCATGATGCACCGGCACTGTTCAAAGGATGTCGGTTGCGTCGGCATGGATTCAGGTGTGCATGTTCAGACAGCTGACTCGAATGGTTCATTGAGCTGAGCGAGAGACCTCCTACGCAAGCTAAACAACTGTTAAGTGCTTGACTCTCTCGTTAGTTAGTGTTTCCTAGAGATGAGGGTTAGCTCGCCCGAAATATAAGGACATGTAACTTGTTAGATACACCACGGTCATCTTATGGGTCCGAGAAGAATAATGCCTGTAAGAGAGGGGGTACTCTGAAAAAAAAATGATTCCCCCTAGAAGGGGTCATTGAAAAACGGAGTTCTAGGGAAGCTTTTTCCCATAAGATACTCACCGTTATGAGTTTGTATAACTAAAAGTAGTATGGTGCAAATTACGCTGAACCTCTTGGATTTTTACTGAAAACTACGGGCGCTGCTTCTAAGCATACTTCTCGGTTACTTGACGAGATGGATAGCTTCTATTCACAATATTTGTGGGATTTCACTTGTTCATTCCTCCAAACCGAAATCCCATATTTCCTCAAATCGGTCTAGTTACAAGCCAAGTCGCCATCTAATATGTGCACCGACAGGCAACCACAAAATCCCATACAATTATCCTGAAAATAACCCAAAAGATAGTTACTTGTCCAGTGTCCGATTGGGCAGCTCCACGTTAGATGTTCAGTACCACATTCCATAACACAGGCCCTACTCGGTTTTCAAAGAACAGCAGCCTGTGTGGACGCTGGAGAGGAAATACCAAACTAGAAGCGCACTAAAAACTCCATACACTTTAAGGGCCACTTAAATGTATCCCGTGCCCACTAGCATTTAATACACCATTGACAGTAGCTTGCACGCGAAAAGCAAGTACAATACGAGGAATGACGCCAGATAAGTGGTATCGGGGAAGAGAAGCTCAAGATCAGTTTCTCTTACTGCAGTGTGAAGTGAAGCTGGACATCTATCGAGTAGCAACATTTTTTATAGCTTTGATTATGAGATTGTCGCTCAGCTGGACTGGATAGGCTACGAAACTTTTGGGAGCTTTTGCTGCACCATTTAAACCATCCCAAATTGCAGTACGACTTTTGAAACAGTGGATTTTTCATAGGTGGTCAGGTTAAAAGCCTTGTCCTGGAAAGGGGAAACAAAAATCCTGTCAGGCAGTGGTCCCTATCCAGATAAGAAATGATGGGGGGATGCTGGAGAATAACTGCTTGTAGGAAGAAACGTCCTTCAGAAGCTCCAAACATGAACAAGGCGTAAAAGTGAGTAAAGTTGTAGACGTTGCTATATCTATGGATACAAGCAATCACAACCGTTCCTACAAGCGGGCTTGCTGGTTGAGATGCCAACGAGTAGATTGTAACCTATGCACTGAACCTAGTTTGGATTGTTTCAGACCAAACCAGGTAAAGGATTGTCGCGGTGAAAAAAAACGTGGAAAGCGAAAACATGACTGTTTTCGAAGATTATCCCACCAAAATGTTACTGAAAAGTAACTGGGCAATATGCCAAGTGATAAAAAGCAGCATTTTTAACATTAAATTACAACCGATTCTTTGAGACATAGAAACAGGAACATCTAACACCTAGCATGAGCAGCGGGGCGCAGTATCGTGTGACTCAACAGTGTTGGAACCCTCTCTGCTTGCGTCGAGAGAATGGACTAGATGTACTGAGGACCTAGAGGCTAGAATATCCACAGCCGTACCATCATACACTCCTTAAGCAGAGCCACTGAATTTTGGATTCTGTGGTCGTCGGGGATATTACCGACGACGACGATGCACAACGAAACCGACGAATGATAACATTGCTCGATATGCGGTGGATGCAAACACCTTTGTGCGGCATCTTTAGGGTCAACAGAGACTAACTAGCCAAAGCTAGCAATAGTTTCCATGTCCACCGCAAGCCAGGTGACGGCTTGATGCGGAAGACCTTCAGTCAACTTATGCTGGGCTGGACATTACCACAGTACGGCTGCCGAAAATGTTGGTCCCCAATCTACGGTAATTGATGTCAAAAATAAGACCCAGACAAACCGTTGATAGCTCATCGATAACCATCAAACATGGGCAGCTGAAATCCGGGAAACAGTTGGCGACGCTGTACCGGCGGGTACTACTGATGAGGCATGGGAGTAGCATGTGGTTTTCCCGTAACTCCGCCTCACGTTCACTGGAAGGTGGGGTTTATTACGAAACTTGTGGAACTGCTGTGCAGCGTCCGTTTACAATTGTCCGATAGTCAACGAATATCCAAGGAAATTCAAGTAGACGCGTGGCAATGGTCAGTTTTCAAAAATGAGGTGCATATGAGACGTTTACGTTCCTATCCAATGGTTTGTGAATGTTGAGTTGGTGTTTGATAATAAAAAACTCCGCGGCGAAGGGCGTTCGTCCTCACAGTGGTGGTAAAACAAGTAGAACACGGGAATTAGCGGGGAGTTAGGAATTTAGGGTGAGTAAACGTTTCAGTGGGCATGGCGATATATGCATCGATGCGCAGAATCGATATCTGCACTGATACAGTCATGGCCCATGTAGATATTATCCCGTCAAAAGGACCGTTTTTTGGATTCTACAGGTGTTTTGCATCTAGTGAGAACTACGTTAAAACACAGCCAATAGAAAGAGCCCAACCAAGCATGCCACTACTTAAAATGGAAGGAAAACACAAGTATTTCAGTTCATTCTACTGAGCAGAAAAATAACTTTGTCATATTCCTCTATCGACGGGGCGTTGAAATTCGCTGCATAAAGTTGTATTCACAGAGCTGAAGTCTAGCCGTCCCTATTCAATAATCATCCACCTTCTAAGACACCGGTATTCGCGAAAGAGACGATAAGAGACGAATTCCGTATACTGGAAAACATTGTGAACCAGACAGCTTATACCGATGATCAGAAGACTGGCTCCAACAATTATTGCCTGCTTGACAAGGATGGCTACGGTGCCTGCTTGCTTTCATAAAAGTATCTATCTATTGGTGTGTAACGAGAACGGCAAGCGGTCGGACTACAACCGTTCTAGCAAAGTAAAAGCTTCAAATATAAAGAAATATCTCACCAGAATAAAACAAAATGACGGAGTAAGCAAAGCAGTGATCGTTGATACAATTCTGACGCACGCACCACCGACAGAAGTGTCGAATTTGAAACAGCGACTAGCAGCTCTGATCGTTGTGAATGTCTCCTATTCACTCGTATGCTGGTTTTGCAAACGACTCGATATTCACTATACATATTCATACAAAACAACGCGGTTGTTGCTTTAGAAGAAGGCAGCTAGATATCTCATTTTGTCTCACTAGCGAATTCCTGTCTAGGCCTGGGTAACGTGGCAGCATCCCAGCCCTCGTACTTCTTTCGGGTGGCATGACAGTTGGGCACCTAAAGGGTGTTACAGCTGAACGAGCATCTTTATTTCTATTATCAGTAGCACGTGGCAGATAGAGTTATTCTTAGCACACTTCTGCCGCCTGAGCTCGACCTATCATAAAACAGGCCACAGGTACTTACGCCTACTCAAGTGAACGCCCCAGACTAAGAAAGCGTCCAGCCCACTCTGTTACCATACTTCTAATCGTTAACCCAATGACATCAACCAGTTGGGACACTTTCTAGAATACCTATGCAAGCCTAATGAGTTGGGGTTAGGAGAGTATGGGTGTGGCTAGACGGAAACACTAATGGTACTCAGCAAGCGTTGCATGGTAACCTCCTGTACAATCTATGTCTGAACGCGAAAGGGACAGGAATGAGAACTCATAAGTACTCAATTAAGCGAACAGGGTACACAGAATTCGTATCTAAATTATTTACTGGAGTCACAGAGTATGTTATTCAGCGTGTGACAGATTTCGGTTGTTGGATAAGTTGGATAACAAGGAAAATTCCCTTCGAAAGCGGACGAGAAAGTGCGTTCGTAATTTGTTGCCCATTTCAAAGAAATCCAATTTGAAGGAAAAGTTGCGCCATAAGTATTTAACACGGCGAATTTAGCGTGTGACCAAAACGGGAACTAAAAGTATAGTGGGGGTCACAGAATGAAGAACTTACCCGCAAAATACACACGGTCAGAGTTGGATTGAATCGCAAAATAATATCACAGTAGTTACTCAAAACGTGAATCATATCCACGGCAACAAGGGCAACCGAATGATCCTGAAATCTCATCATTCCCAGCAAATAAACAAACTCATCCAGAGGAAAGGTGACCGGCCGGTTGACAGTTGAATCGGGACCAGCATTCAGGTGAGTCAGCTGTACGATGATATTAACTGCGAGGGCAGCTAAAGCCAAGCACCTGGCCTCTGCATTTGGATCAGCCAGCGTCACTCGAAGAAGGGATTGCAGTACGCGAGACTGTGAGCATTGGTTGAACAGAAAAAAGCGGGCCCATGAAAAAGCAATACGCCGGGACAGTGAGTTGTTTACCACTTAAATGACATACAAGGAAAGAAGAACGCACGGCCGATACTTAGTATTGCCCCATTAACAAGACGACCTCAGAAATAGAGTTACCAGCAACCGGTAATAGCCAGGACAGTCCAGCAGCAGATCACGGGCGTGCATTAATCAGCTGAAGCTATTGCAAATTGCAAGATATTAAGGAGGAATAAAAATGTGAACGTGCTTGGGAATGCCGTGATAGAAAACCACAAATCGGCTCACGGAAGAATCAACGGAGAGCAGAACCTGATGCCGGTGCAAGAATGACTATATACAAACGAACAAGAAAGAAATATGATACTCCGACCCTTGACACAGACATAGGTAGGGAAGAATCACCGGCCGATAGACTTGTCATATTGAACGTACCCCGAGATCAGTGCAAGTGGTCAGCTGAACCGTACTGCTGAGCGTCGCATCAAAACACTCCAGAGAGTTGAAGTGGATTGGATAGCACAGTAGTGTACTGAGCATTACCACCGCCTCAGTCCGAGGGACCTTTAAAAGAAATCAACAAAAAATAACGGTGTTTTTTAAGGTAGCAGAAAGACCAGAAATAGACCACGAGGTTGGCCGACGGATGAACGCAACAAGGTTTGATCAAGAAGCACTACGCTTATCCATTATGTTCCAATTCACTTAACTTCTAACAGTTGAGTAGCTTAAGATAGGAAATATGTTATAACCAGTAGAGAAGATGGTAGCAATACATTCCATCACGAAATATCCTATGAAGGTGTCGGGAAATTGACCAGAGTGACGATGTCACACCGAAAGACAGTTGGAAAGCTGTCTACCAACATTTAGAGCTGAAAATGAACTACTGGGTCTTCAGGTAGCACAACAGAAACCGGATGAGACTATGCTCCAACCCTGAGATCGATAGCGCTTCGAGGGCAAATGCGATTTCGGAGATTTTCGGAGCGGACCCATCTGCATCTGGGAGAAAGCCGAGGCGAAGTGAAGTAGGAAGAAATCGTAACCAATTAAAGTGCATATAGCATTGACTGAGGAACTGGGGCCATATTATTCTCTTGCAGGATGAATGCAGAAGCTGAACGCCATTGAAGATCTTAAGCTAAATTACCACAGAAAATATAGGACCCATTGACAAATCATAAGTTGAACCTATAGCTGGATAAACTACTATGTAGTGGTAATTTTTTAGCGCCTAGCCTTATATATTATTTTCGCTATCTTACCTTCCGAGCTTCCGGAGAAGGTGGGGATATAGTAGATCGTCAAGGAGGCTTTAAGCACCATTTCGCTGTGAAGAATATTTGTACGGCTTCATGCGGAGTTATAACGTAACCCGTAAAGGGAACCGAATACCAAGTACAATCAGAAAAGCAGTCTTCCGGTATTTTTACGGACCTACTTTAACCCAAATTGGCAATGCAAGGTAGATACAAGAGCACACTGAGACCCCCAGGACTAAACCAAATGGTAACTAGTGAATCTGCACTGTGAAGTTTATCGTGCTAAACTCACTAACTCTTCCAACAATGTAGCAAACGCAGGAACAATCAATAAAAAGTAAATCTGGTATTTGGGTGCAATAGACAGAGATCAAACAAACGAATCACACAAGCTTCTGATAATAAACATATTCCTACCTCTTTGGCGTTGCTCGTATCGGTCAACACAATGTTGATACCTCTGAGAAAGTCTAAGAGTAAAAGATGTGAACCTGGGAGATCTGCGGCAAAAAACCGCATTCCGCACGATCGGACGATTCCGTGTACATAGCGCTACAAACAGAAGAAGCACGTCCAATTAGAAAACCAAGCTAGTGTGTGATGTCCATTAACTTCATTGGATTGAGAACGTACCTCATCTGTTCCCGTCAAATATCGATGAAGGATGCGGTAAAACTGAGCAATTAGTTCGTAGTTCACTGGCCGATCCGGAGGTCGAATCACGCACTCACAAAGGGTACTTAGTGCAGACAGGCGGATGGAGGGGCTCTTATCGCGCAACACTAGAACCTGGAATGGTTGGATGAAAGGAAAACCGAGCGTTTGAAAAACACTTGGTGGTTGCCAAATCTTGATCTGCGAATCATCAGGTCACTTGCACCTAAAAAGATGGAGGTGGACGTCTTATATAGAAACGCACGTCGAAGCCCGACAGCAAGCCCACAAGAGCAAACGGAATAAGCCCGTTGTTGTCCCCCTATTCACTACTATTCCATGAGGTCGGTCAATCGATCCTCAGACGATTCAAGAGTGGCAATTACATGTAGCCAAGATGATAACACGGATCGGCGCAGTCGATATCTAGACGTAGTAGAGGTTCGGACCTCAGAGGCAAAAATACCACGTTATGAATACGTATTCATCAAATCTTTTTGCACTGAAGACTGAAGGACTGAAGAAATTGATGGCAAAGGAAAATAGTGACCCTCAAGTAGTAAATTAACAACAAAGCATTCAAAACGAAGTGAAATACGAATGGAAAAGCTGATGAGGACGCGAGAATCAGGAACTTGCCTCCAACAAAGTTGGTACAACATATTCAATCGGAACACAATATTCCGCCAGTGGTTGGACACATGCATCACTAACGGGATTAAGCTTTTGGTGCTGTTGAATTTTAAGCAACACCCCGACAAGTTCGGAGAGGTAGGTGTAGACTTTCTCCAAATTTGTGTTGTTTTCTATATCATTCACATTACCCAGCATACCGAGAAATCGTCGCCAGCAGACAACAATAGACTCTTGTGTCCACCCGGGTGCCTCTCCACCGGCGAGGATGCAGCGTGGGACGTTTTGTGTTTCGAACGAAGATTTTGTTGGCGTTTGTGTTAAGTCCACATCTATAGGGAGACCCCCAAAGTGGAATAAAGAAACAAACGGATAGTCGTCAATGGGACGTCGTTTATGCATCAAACATTGGAGAAGTTCAAGCAATGGCCGGGTAAAAACACAGAGACAATGGTAGAAGCAAACAAGAAACGAAGCGCTCAAAAGTTCATCGGTTAAATATGCCGACGATATAATATCAGGATATTCATCCGCAGTCTTTTCAACGATTACCATACAACAGTGCCCAAGGGCTAATAAAATAATCAACGCAGATAAAATAGCTAAAAACGAAGCTAGGAGTGCGCCACAAAATCCGCTCAACAATAAATATCCGATTCGATGGCTCGGAGTGAGTTTTACAGAGGTGAGAGTCAACCATTTTAAGGATTGCTGCAGTCAGCTGTGTATCGTTTAGCCGGTAGTGTAGGGAGCTCGAGACAGCTCAGTGGTTAACGCGCGAACCTAATGACTAGAAGGGTACTGTGGTTCGAACTCAACCGGAGCATCCCGACTGTTCCTGTCCAGGCTTTGGCAACCTGGCAGTATCTCGGCCCTCATGTTTCCTTCGGATGGCACGGTAGATAAGCATCGCGAGGATTCCACAACTGACTAGACTAGTGTAAAACGCACGAGGCATAACTCACCACTCGTTTTGAACTTCGTTTCAGTATCCCTGAGCGTTCTGTCGCATTTGTTATTAGATTCACTTATTGAATTTACATTTATATTGCCCATCGTTAGCCAACGAGTAACAAGCAATCCCATCACACAGCAACAAAAGCTGAGTTGGCTTGGTTTTATGCAAAACCGTGCTCAATTGCACTACCCTTTTTGGAGTTTTCACCCGTGTGGGGAGGGTAGTTTCGAAACATGAGGCAATAAAAGTTATGATAAGAATAATGCAATTATCCTCCTTCGGAAGGGTGTTCCGGCCGAATGTGAAATGTGGCCTAATTGAAGACTGTCTTCGAACGAGGGCTGGGGTTTCTTTACGAAGTGAGCGCCTTTCTTAAATCGTCTTGTGTGGCTGTCTACATTGAGTGAGATGCTTATTTTTCCAAAACTCAATAAACATAGTATGGTTTCTATGCCCTCATCACAGTACTACATTTATCCCTCGAAACAAGCTTGAGAGTAGCTGAAGTCTGTTTCAAGGGAGCACTTTTTCGGGAGTTATTGTGTTACGCATTTCTCGCCCATATATTGATAAACGAAAACAGTTATCGTACAATCACGGGTTTTTTCAATAGAACTAGCGTGATATCCACCCACTGGAATGCCCAAAGCATCGTTTCATTTGGTTCTAATAGGATCTCCTATTCGGGTACTTAACACTCGTGATTCGAGGACTGTCAACAAGATGAGCTAGTTCTAACTGATTGTGTTTCGAGTCTCTCTCAGTGATTTTTAGCCAGCGTTCCAAAGAAACAGAAACTTGGTTGCTATTGCAAGTTATCAGGCAAAGTAAATCCTCAAATATAAGCAACATACGTGTTGTAACTGGAAGTTACCACGTACAGATAGATGGATAGACAGAGGTTACACCAAATGGGTTTCAGCCATTCAGTCAGACTGCTGTACTGGATCCCAGGTGGTACTTTCTTATAAAGATTCACTTTGATATTGAGACCTGTTGCAGTGGTGTGAAACAGTGTCGACACCATCTTAGACAATAAGCGACCACTAGTATCGTATAGAGAGAAACAAATGATGGTAGTGACCAGTTAGTTAATCTCGAGATTTGCGGTTGGATGATCATGGAAGGTCTAAATTTTGCCGACCACTTGTTGGGCACACTGCTACGCACACTCGTGTAGTTTCTCCGCAGCATAGAACCGTTTGATATCACAACATGACCTCACATTATTCTCACCCAACACCCCTTATCACGCACCACCAAAACTTCTGTCCTTTTAATCTCATTCAAACCAATCGAGTGCAGCGTTGATTGTACAAAATTTGAAAAAGGACATCTATGAATCAGAAACTTCGATATAACGGAGTTGCCTTAAGAAGTGGGAAATCGGACAGCTGCTCAATGAGTGCAAAAGCTTTGATGCAGGAGAGCAATTGACCGCATAAATTGAGTCACGTCTGGTAGTTTGCTATTGATTAGCCGATCCCCGATATCCGCATGGAGACAGGTGACAGTTGCTAACTCGGCTGAGTTTACTAGTTGCCACTTCATAGCCTACACTCATGTCCACCTCGTACACGAGTGGGCAAAAAGAGGTAGGTGGCCCACACACGTAGAAGTCCAAAACAGCATAACCTATGGAACGTGGTTACTTGGCCCACCGTGCACACCTCAGCAGAGGAACAGTAGTGAACTCCATACTATGAGTAGCCATAATACCAGGCGCTCTGGATGTAAAATCGTAACCTCCACAGTAAGAAGAGTGTGCAAGCAGCAAAGTGTTCTCCCCAGCCGACCAACATACCTATGATTATTGAAGCAGCGCTGGTATCTCCTCACGAGGAACGACGGGTCGGAAAGCTTCGACCCTAGAATCTGAACATTGCGAACAAAGTACCCTTGATACATGACTTATAGCTGATAAATCGAAAATGAACAGAGCTATTACTGGATATTTGCAAGCTATGCCATTAAATGAGACAAAAACTGCAATTGCCCATAAGTAATTGCTCGTAAGCCGCGCTTGGTGTAGTTAATACTCAGGAGGTCATTGAAACTTAGAAGCAAGAGATAATAGGATTCCACTTGGGATGGCTTTCATGGATATTTCAGGAAGTGGGACTGCTCAGAAGAGTAGTGAATCCGCAAGGTCGCAGTGAGGCACATCCCAGTCCCTAGTGTGATGTGCAATCAGCTTCAGGGCATAGCTGCCTCCTACTGAAAGAATCATCCCGCAGATAATAAGCCCGGTTCATCTTTTGAGATAAACTCAAATGGTAAAATCCAGTATCGAAGGTATCGTTTTTAATCAGTCCCTGGTATCTCCTCTGGGGGACAAGTCAATTCACCACTGATCCCCGCATAATATTTTATCAGATAAAGACTTAAATAACAGAATACTAAAGGAAAGAACGAGCTGAAATCTACCAAATCAATGCAAACTGACGAATAGTTAAGACCAGGAAAGCTTGGAATAACTGAAAGAACCCACTACAGGGTTCGGTTGCACACCGTGTACAGGCAACAGAGAAGACCAGGCCCCAACCGGAAAACGGCTACAAGTGGTGCTCAGTAAAGGACCTCTGATCAATTTCGCTGGTGACCTAGAGAGTAGCGCATGAACAACTATGCTCAACTGGATGTTTTGCATTTCTTTACCCCGGAAGAACATGACAATGGGGTACAAACTGTGACAACTACTTGAACCGTACTGTAAACTGTAACCAGTGTTTTCAGTTCCGCTACGATAATAAGGAATATAATTAACCAACGTCATATTTCTTCTGCAAGGCTAAAATGGTGAACGGTGAGACAAACAGAGATAGTCAACGGAAAAGTATCATCCCTCTGTCCGCATCTTACTCACCGATACCTAACTCTGCAGACGTAGCCCTCAAGGTCCCGGCGCGATGCTGTAGGGATGGGCTGTACGTACCCCGGAGCGAACCGTCCAGTTGGACTGTGAAGGAGAAAGAGACAGTTGTACGAACCAACTAGTTTGGAAACAAGCAGACCCTTGAAGCGAACAGGAAGTGGTGTTCCGTCAGCGTTATCAACAAAGAACCAGATGTATGATAAAGTAATAAGGTGGTAACAAACATGATACGTTTGAAGAGGGATGTTAACCATGTACGGCCATTTACACCCACAAGGGATTCGACAAGGAGGGGCTACTCTCCAGAAGAGTACGAAACATTGATGCTCGTGAACCAGGAAACCGTCGAAGAGAGATAGCCCCCGGGAAAGGCCGAATACCCTTTCCACTTGTGGCGTTCACATTCGGGTGGAGGAGAATGGAGCAGTGTCGTGAAAAAAAAACGATAAATTACACTAGACGACTGAGAAGCAACGTACGATTGTTTCCTGTTAAGAGATCATCAGAAATACACATCTAGCGGATTTCCGCCAATGACAGAAATTGTGTCATTTTTGATCCGAGTGGCCTGCATTTACCCAAAATGGATAGACGGGCGTCCTAAACAAGACAGATAGACTAAACAGAATACTGGAGCATTGCCAGTAATCAGTAACATTTCTGGAGATGGTAGTGATACCTTAATCCTCTAAAATGTATCAGTTTTACGCAAAAAGACCTCTATCAAAAGTCGTTGAATCCCTCAGTAAGGGCGCGGGACCTAAAAGTTAATGTACACCTTGGTATCACATTTGATGTGGAAAACATAATACCGTGTGGTGCGTCGTGGGGCAATGGGAATGGAACGTCACTAACAATTACCGTTGAAGTCCCAGTGTTCGCTACAAAAGCGGGACAGAAAAACCTGTTCACTTAGGGAGAAGTGATGAGAAGGAATCCGTCGACTGCGACGTGAGTTGTAATCTAAATTTTGCGAAGTTAACCAAATCAACGAAAGTATGTATACCCGACCACCTTGTACGACCACATAATGAGAACAAAAAACAGACCATACGAAATCCACATAGTGTGTATTATCCTACTGATCATGTGATCATCCTAGTTTCCTTTTTAACCACTAAGGAGGTATAATTTACCTGCTAATCTGTTGAACGGTAATACAGCCACTGTTTACAAATATACCCAGTGGTTAGCAAGAAAACAGGAGGTGAAGCAGACTGGCGAAAATAGGCCCACTGACAACCTTACTGCGTCGTTTGAGGGTACCAAGCACACACAGTTATGTCAAGGTCGGTTGGTTCCAAACGATGTAAAAGCACACTTTGTTACCTAAACGAATGTTCACGTGCCTATTTTTTGTAGTAACAATTCTCAGGATAATAAAGTCACCTTTATGAGGTGGGAAGACCACAGTCCCAGGTTATGGTGTTCAGTTTATGAACCAAGTGTTGACACAGCATCAAGAGAAACGTGTACTTGATCACACAAACATCTAAATCATGTGCATGCGCCACACACTTGAGAGCAGCTTAAGATAAACTCTGAGGGTGTAAAACATATCAAGGGCACAGTTTGGTCAATCTCAGCAGTGAAGTGACTAATGACCCAATTGAGAAATCAGCAAAACATAGCACCCGATATAAAGCAGCCAACGACGGGACGTATTGTCAGTGACTTACTAGAAGCTGGCGATTCTTCGCCTATTTTCACATCAGGACTCGCAGAGTAAGTCTGAAAAGTAATGTATAAAAATCAACCATTTTGAGATTCAGACTGTTTCAAACACTTGTACGAGGGTTAGTAGGCAACCCCAAAAGTTATCATGTGACAAGAGATGTAAGGAACACCTGAAGGTGAACGTTCACTCGGACGATGGTAAGTGGAAGAGCTAATAGGTTACGTTAACAATTACTCTGTAGACTCGTATGAGAACATGCTAAGATGGACATACATAACGGTGAGAGAGTGTGGAAGAACTTGGAAAAACTGAGGACCCGTGACGGTACATGAAGTTCGCAGCACGTGCATGGCATTCTAACAAAAAACCATGGGAAACAACACGAATAACGTGTGGTTTTCTACGCAGCACAGGAGGCTGATTGGGACCGTAACGAATGGACGGGCGCGAGTCCACGTTGGAAGCCTCAGAGTATGCCGAACAAACGGATGTTGGAACAGCAAACTGCGATGTCCAATAAACGGGGAGAAAAGCGTTTGAAACCCAGAAATCTGTGCTCACTGAACAAAAACATAGACATCGATTTAATTACCTCAAAGTAATCAAGCGGTTTATCAAACCATCCAGAAAAAGCCGAGTCCATTTATGATCGTCGATGGCAGCTCATGGAGAACTGCTTCCAGATTACAGGTAACTGGAACCAGTAAACGTTATAATATTCGAGAACAGTGTTCGTGGTTGAGACCGGATGCATAGAATGACATACATGGATTCCAACCAATCCTGAGCAGTGGATCAAAAGTCACCACTGTGGATAAGACGTGGTTGGTAGGCTACAAGGTTGTTGGGTGACAAACCTTACCGTCATTAAAAGTTATTGCTTCCGGATGCGTCCAAAAAACACTTAAAACCGTCAACTCTTCTGTCATGGACTGAATTGAAGTTATTGAGAAGCTGTGACATCTGTTGTTGTGCGGTAAGAAACACATTACAGAGAATGATAAAATCTCCGTACACGTTACAATATGCTCATTTGTGACCTAGGGACCCAGTCGTATGAACAGATGCACCAACTGGTGTAATCTCGGACTAAGGCACATAACTTCGCATGTGTAGCAATCATTAAAAAACCAATCCATCAAAGAAGTAGTTCACGATAAGAACAAATTTAGAAAGTGTTCCTGAAACAGCCGAAATCGACGCTTTGGTGCTTATAAGGCATACCCCTTGGGGGTCGCCATTCATCGGACGTGGATGAGACACTTCATACGCAACGACTGCTTTCCGGCGTTACGGAGTCAGGAGGAAAGTGACCAGAAAATCAACATTAAGTTTTCCACAAATAATAATAATAATACAACTGTAGCACCCTTTCGATGCCTAGCTGTCATGCCAATGGAAGGAGGCACGAAGGCTGAGGTACCGCCAGTTGGCACAAGTTCACACAGGAGCAGTCAAAATGCTAAGGTTGGTTTCGAACCACGGAGCTTCCAGTCCGTAAGCTGGCGCCTTGAACACTGAACTATCCCGAGCCACAAACAAGATTAACGACGAATATCTTACTCATCCAACTTGCAAAGCAGCACTGGTACATAAAATGGGGTGCAAGCTCGACTTACTCCCGGGAAACGGAGCGCCAGAAAGACATAAACGTGCTTTACAGATACGACCTTTCACCAATGCGCCCGCAGAACTACATACAACTGGATGCGGAACAGAGTTATAGGAAATAGCCCCTCAAACCATGTCTGAATAGTTTTCAAGTTAAATGAAGGAGAACTCTATCAGTTACTAGTATTCCAATGGGTTTTCCACAGAACCATCTACAAACTGGTTAAATCATACTGAATGGCATTCATTAGAAGAAATAATAGCCCAGCACACTGAACAGCGATCAAGGAACGAATACTGGCAACAAAGTACGAACAAACTCCTCTAGTGGTGAAAGAAAAGCGGGTCTGTAATCATAAGGGCAAATCCGTGCTCGGTGGCCGAAATAAAGCCTGAATCTGACATCCAATCTACATAAGAGTGATCAGTATGTCAGTGAACCACGGAAGATCCGAGTTAACCAGAGTCATGAGAATCAATATGGGGTCAAAGTACTCCAGATACAACCCGAATGGTGCTCGGACGTCTTATCGATGGTAGCCTCAACTGACCCCTTTGGCAGTCTGCTACAACCACCGATAGTTCTAAACCCGGAAACATTGGTAGTTGGCTACTTAGTTGGTCCCATCAGTGGCAATATGCTTCCATTGAACATCAACATCCTCATTATTTTGTTTCCCGAAAGATTGAGTTTCACGCATTGATGAAGTCCCTCACTATACTGAATGTCTAAATAAAATTTTCCTCTAGCTTTATCCTCTGAAAAGAAAAAAAAGTTTTAGCATCATGTATTTTTCAAGTTTGGACTTAACAGAGGTCTGTCAAAAGGATGGGATAACGGGCATTAAAGAATTAAGAAAAGACGTCAGCTAATGCAGCGCGCAGTTTTCCCCCCTCAATGCTACTGACACTGAGTGGAAGGCTTAAAGTCAGGTGTAATCCTAGCATTAGATCCCAAGCAGTTGATGTTTTCAGAACAGCTACATGGCGTTTAGCTCAGCTATGGCGCTCTAGAAGGATGACACCCGTCCGTAGGAGAAGTCGGCGCTTTAAAACGTTTGGCAGTGAATCGGAAGCAACGGTTAAGACATTCAATTTACGAAATTCATGCTGGCTAGCACCAGGCTGGAGGTTGACGAACCATACGAAACTAAGACAGTTGACGTGTTGAAAGGACAAGGATGTAGACCAAAGATACAGAGGTATGCATTCACCTACCTTCGGTTTGAAAACAGACCCTCCATCCAGGGACGCCCTATCACTTAATCCAAAATCGTTACGACTCAGTGCCGAAGATGAATCGTCATCTAGGGCTGGACGATCCGGTGGTGGGGACTGCGGTTCTTCCAACGAAAATCGAAGGCTTTGTTGACTTCCAGACTTCGTGACACCAGTGTCAACAACTCCTTGCAAGGACGATCGTCGAAGTCTTCTGTTCGTGGGTGATCCAACCGACAAGACAGACCTAGCATCCGGTGAGAGACCGGATGCGACTCGTCGCGGAAGGTGTTCGCCGTCACTCATTGAAGTGCGTAAACACCGAGAAAACTGATCGGCCATTCCGTATGTCGGGTCGTGTATGGAATGCACAGATGCTGGCTTTTTCAGGTGGAAAATGAGAGAACACAACAGGAATTAGTGAACGAGTAAGGCAGCAGGCGAGAAACAACACTGAAAGCGTTGCAACGGCGAAAATATGAGCATGACCGGAAGGACATGATGCAGGAGCAAGCAACAAGACATAGAAAAGAAGCGAATATTGCGCAGCGACCAAACAAACAATCAGAAGCAAACAGGAAGACATGATTGTTGATTCTGTTATCCATGCACTAGGACCAGAACGATAACATGCATACCTCATTTAAATTGCTTGCGCTTCGACGCATAGCAAACACGGTTGATTCCCTCGAGGGGACAAGAGTCGTAGAACGATGAGCTTGCTCGAGAGTGCGTGGGAGACTGTGATGACGACTACTATCCATCTTCGGTAGTTTTCCTTCCGAATCCACTCGATTTGTAGGACGCGTGTCGTGATTTGATACGATAACGCTGGGAGAAATCCCTGCATCAGTGGTGGAACTAAAGTGCCCTTCAGGAGTTTGTGTTGGACTTGCAGGACTAAGGGGCTCGGAACATCCATCAGCGTGATACATGTCACATGGCTTTCTCAAAACATCAATGCCGGAAATACTTACTGTTGCTTCACTAAAAGTGGGATCAGCAGATAGTGGTTGCGGGGATATAGGACCTTGAGCCCCAGGTTGAAAGACATTGGTTGACGGAACGTGTGCCAGTGTAGAATCTGTGAAAGACTTCGGACGAGCACGATTAGTTGAATGATGTCCTGAAAGGGGAAAAGGTGCAGTTAGCGTGTCAATAAAATGAAGCTATGGCGTGGCCGAAACTAATGGGCTGTACCTAAGCATCAACTGTAGTTGACTGGGTAAACTAGTTTGATGTAGTTGGCGAGACGCCGTTGAAAAATGGGATGTTGAGAAAAAGGCTGGGCGAAACGTGAATTTGAATAAGCGATATGGGTGATTAAGTTAGGCGGGTTGGTAAATACAAACCAAACATGAAATTTATAGCTCACGTATTCTATGAACATGGACTGTATTTCATATAAAGTGCATCCAGAAATTTGCAGCCAGTAATATCCGACTATCCAAGAGTGAAATGTATTGTCCGAGTAAATCACACTACTGATCAGCTGCTCGTGGCCAAATCAACCAAAAGGCTCCTGTATGAGGATCGTTTTGACATTCAAGAATCACCATTATCGTAAAACGATGATAGCCTAGCAGACACTGACCGAAATAGAACAGAATCGGGATTCATTGGTGGTGGGTGGCTCATGATGCTGCCTAAGCAACACCACCCAAGCTGCTAAAGCCTCATGTGATTCGTCATTCCAAGGCCCTGGGTTGGATTACCGCCTTCTCACCCGTTATTAAAACACGGCGCACCAGAAACCTCAATTTGCAACAGTCATACTCTGGGCAGTGACACTCTTATTCATCAGCGAGACCCAAATTTCTATTAAATGTTGCTCAATCAACTCCAACTTCCAGGTTCCTTTCTACACTAACACTTCCTTCTAAAGGTGGGATTTGCGCTTACACCCATCCCTCATTTTGCCTCTTCACTGAAATCATCTGATACTTGGAAGTTTGCTTTTCGAACAAAATGGCTCAAATGCACACTCGGAAATTATGTAGTCCATTTGATGAGTTTATAGTCCTTCGAATGGTAATGATGTATCCCAACTTCTAGTCTAACCGCGAAGCCATCCAGAATTCAGACTCCACAGCTGATTTACGGAATGTGGACACAACATTTTTGTATAGTAGATATTGAAAACTCTCGGATTTCTCCAAAACTATTTGGATCTAGAGGAAACAGCACATCAGTAATCCCACAGTAATGAGAAGATTCTCAAAGAAAGTATCATGTTTACCATAAATGAGCCGTTCACAGTAGACGGCCACACATTTTAGGTCACGTTGTTTTCGTGCAACTGCATTGTTCTGAAAAAGTTCACTCAACTACGTTCGATTAGATTTAATCTACGGTGGCTACTTGCCCCGATGAACTAGAATGCAGTCCATCTATGGGAACCTGGATGAAAGCTGGAAGCCACCACATTCTAATGGTACGGTATTCCTGCCCATTAAACGAATCCGCTCCCAAGAAAAGTTTTCTCTCAGGGCACAAATTCTGCTCTCACCAAGCACCAGGACGCAGCACCGACCCACCGACTTTCTTACATTGTGGCGCTACTCACAGTGTAGACATGTTCCTCATGTTACCTTGCCTCCAAAAGGATGGTACCGCATCCATTTTAGCGAATACGCAGGGTGGCACGGACTCGTCATAGAAACTGACATGAGGTTCCTTATGCAGATATTTGTCCAACATGAAAACACAATTGAAATGAGCCGTTTTTATGTTCCTAAAGTGAAAACACGTTTTCATTCTAGGTAACCTTTACGGCTGACATCTGCTGATATACATCATACCCAAGGACAGTGGGATACGATGAGAAGGGAGATCACTGTGGATGGATTTTCTTTTAGAACCATTTGTCGATGAACAACCAGCTCTGTATCCTCCAACAGGAGCTGGTGACCATTGAGCCACAGATTTGAAATTTTGAAGACACAGAAGTGGGATGCAGAAAAGATCAAACAAGTATTAGTAGTGCACGTATTCTGCAAGTTTGCACTGGCCATTATTTGCTTCTAAGCAGTGCAGTGAGAGCGATTGCGTCACCTGCTGTCTCGTTACTGATGAACAGACATGGAGTCGGAATGGTCACAGCCATTCGTTAACCATAGCTAGAGTAAGTACCCGAATGCCAATCATTCTGAAATGCAAATGTTCATTCAAATGACGTTCTTTCCTAGTGTACATTTTTCAGGGAATTCCTCAGTTTAACCTGGGAGGCAATCCCGCGGTATAGCAGTCAAAAGGCTGTCCGAACTAGAAGTGATCGAAAGTATTGAAACCGACTATAGGATACATTAGAAGCGGCCTTCTTAGAGAACATAATCATGAATGGAAAGACATGAAAATCCCTATGCACGAAAAGGATCGCAGAATGAGATGTTTGACTTCGAGATCACAGCGTCATTCGGCTAGACCAGTCCCAGCGAGCCTTATGTGTCAACAGGTAATAGTGACCGAGACGGAAAACTCAAGGTGTGGAATGCAAATAGGGTCCACGAGATTACGTGCTAGTGAGTTAGTCAAAGATAATTTCGAAATAATAACATATATGAATCAGTCCCCAGATCAGAAAGTGTTTAGCTGATTATTGGTATCTGCACTTGCGGCTTTCACTCGATTTGCTAAACTCGAAGACTGGTGTGAATTTAGATCCCTCATCAGTTCTTGAAGTAGCAGTTTTTTGCATTGGAGACCATTAGGCAGTCGTTCGTGTTTTTTAAAGTATCTTTGCGAGCCGAACGAACTACGATTACCTCATTCGGCCTCATGTGGCATAGCGACTAAAAACCAGCATTTGCTACTGCCTAGGTGTTATCTATGTTGATGATGAGAAGGAATGACGAAAATCTCGTCGAGCCGAAAGTGTTCAGTGTTCAGGCCTAACCATCCCCCTAAACGTACAACAGAATTAAAGCTACTTCACAATGAGTAGATGCCAATAAGCCACTCGCAACATGGATTATTTGAGTTGTGTTGGGACAAACACGTTAAAAGTAGAGATTACTTACCTAAATCCCGTTTGCCACGTCGGGGAAGGTTTCCTGTTGGCAGATCGGACAAGTCTACACCGTATACCAGTTTGGCCATTATAGTAGTAAGGCTTTGCATTACTTTCTGTCGGCCGGATGATGGGAGTAGAAATCGAGAGTATGGGAAATTAAAGTCACAGGAGAGCTCAGAAATGAAGGAATTGCCGAACAACGCAATAGAGGGCAGCATTTAGCTATTTCTCTGACAATTAGGGATGGGATCTAGGTTAGTCCTTCCTGAACTGAAGCCCCCCGAACAAGAAAACAGGACTGGGAGCACCGTGGAAATTCTAGCGTATGAAACCAGCTCATCACAAGTATTTATTCATGTTATATATTGTGTAACATATATATAACGTAGAAGCAGACACACGTTTTGGTCCGTGTCTGGTTTTCAAACCGACCACCGTCCAAAATGTACATCACTCCTGGATGAGATCAGAGGAAAAAGGGAATCAGCTGGCACCCGAATTAAGAAGACGCTAAGATAGTTAAGCTGTAGCATCCTTTCGGTGCCTAACTACCACAATGTCCGAAGGTTGCACGAGGGCTGGGATACTTCCAGATTGCCCAATCCTACACAAAGGAAGTCGAGAGGCAGAGGCCGGTTACGAACCACGGACCATGGACCGCTATGATGGGATCAACCAGCATCATATATGCCCCAAACGAAATCGTATTCCATGAGAAGAACGAACAGGAAAGCAGACTCTTTTAGGGACTTACAACAGGAGGCCTGACCAACGGTTATACAGAACACCAACCCTGGGTCCCAATTAGAAAACTTTCCGGAGAAGCCACTTTATATGAAAAACCACTACGTTTGTCTTGTTGCCAGAGAACTGGGGAGGGGCAAACTTCTGTGACACGTCAGCATATTCACTACTGGAACAAACGTTACGAAAGGTTCTGAAAAGTTCAGTTAACGGTATGCGGAAATATAGTAGACAGTACGAGATTCGCATTACCAGCCTGTCAAAGGGTGTGTTAGCTTTCTTCTGAGAATAAGCTGAACGTCATCCCTCTGGAGGCATTCACTGATTTGCAGCATTTGACAATCGACGTGGAAGATTAAAGTCAGCGAGAAGCAGAGTACTGGCATTCGGCAGATTTCTAGAAAAGTCGAATAGACGTTGAAATACGTCAGCCGGTAGAATACGACTGTTTGAAGTAATCGCCATGATGAAAATAGATTTGAGGTCTGAGGTTATATTAACTGTTTTCCACTAAGTCTTTTTACGGCATACAGATACCCAGTTTAGCAATTAAATAATTGTCATGTACTCCAAAGACAGTGCGCACCAAGAATGAAATGTATTGTCCGAGCTAATCACACTACTAATCAGCTGCCCGTGGCCAAACCAACCAAAGTGTTCCTCTATGAGGACCGCTTTTGACATTTGAGAATCATCATTATCGTAAAACGGATGACAGTTACGCAGGAATTAAGAAATTACAACTCAGACACGTTGAAATACTGCTCTAGAGAGAGCGGAATGTGGGTGAAACTGAGGACTCACCTTCCACTCGGAAATGAGAGGAGTCCAATGAGTTAACTTTGAATAAACAGTCAGACATTGGTTCCACGGGTCTTGTGTAATCCGAGCCAACAAGGAGGCCCGTAAGAGAGCTCCGTTCATCGTCTACAGGCAAAGGTTCATAAAAAGATCCATGGTTACAAACGAGATCGAATAATTCAATAGGACGAATGCACTATAAAAACTCCTGAGGTCCGCGTGACCAATTCCTCTATGTCTGGTGGACCGCAAGAGGAATGAAACAGCGCACGTGGCTGGAATTTTAGGAGTCAACACTCGGCTAGGTTCCACGTCCATAGTTTAGTAATAGTCGGACACTCATGTAGAGTAAACCATTCGTTCAGCTGTAGCACTCTTTTGGTGCCTAACTGCCATGCCAACCGAAGGTTGCACGAGAGCCGGGATACTGCCAAGTTGCCCAAGCCTAGACAGGGGAAATCGAGAGGCAGAGGTCGGGTTCGAACCATGGACCTTTCGGTCAGTAAATTCGCGATCTAACCACTTGGACCATCTGGTTTCATTCAACCACAAGTAGACTACCGAAGGCAACAGCTAGTTGAATCACATCTAAACTGTGAGGCTAATTGAAACTTTACTGAAACTTACTTGAAACAAAGTATGTACTAACTTCTCATTGGATAGCCAAGAATCTCCAATGTTGCCATTCGGGACTACACCAATCATAGTTGAGTTGATCATCTCTAATAGGAAGGAAAGAAGTTTCATCCTGTAGAGACAAAAAAAATAGAAGATTAGCGGACTATCAGTGAGTAACGGGTTAGCAATGGAGTTAAAAAGCGAGTCCCTGGAGCGCACTGAACTTGCAACCTTCATTCGGCAAACCTTTCGCAAATGTTCAGCTCAAACTTCGTTCTAAAAACGATACTGTTAACTAATAAAATATTAATAATCGTTCAGCAATAGCACCATTTCAATGCCTAGCTACCATGCCACCCCAAGGAAGCACGAGGGCTGAAATACTGTTGGGTTGTCCGAGCCTAGACAGCAGAAGTCCAAATGCAGAAGTTGGGTTCGAATCAAGGACCTTCCGGTCAATAAATTCGCACTCTAACCACTATTAACTGGTCCGAACGGATAGCTTTGATGGCATGCATATCCATTCACTCACCAACTATCCGACGTCAATTCATTCCGATCAGATGTCACGCGAAAAATGTACAGAATGCGGCGACACAGGTCAACTTGTTCTTTCACATAATCCACAGTCCTATTGGAATGTTTGCCCGTTGGATCGGCCTGGTGCGTTTTCACTGCCGGGGGACACTTCAAGAGAAACACGCGCGCCATATTGTATAGCATAATCTAGAAAAGGATACAATGGGTGAGAGTAAGGACAAAGAGGTTAGTCCACACGAGAGGGATCCATATAACAGGAGAATAGTACAAACAGTACAGAGTTAGCATATCATGTTTGGAATTTACCCGCCTAAGCGAGCATTTAATACATGTATCAAATTACATATTTGGAGTAAGTATCCTGCCATACGAAGCTCACATGGGTCGGTACATATCTGGGAAGTAATAACAAGTGTCAACGACCTCAATCAAAGTAACGTGACTAGACCACAGTAATTTGAGCTTCATACGTGAAGACACGACTTGAGGCTAGTGAATAAAGCAGAGAAACAGGGGCATAGTTCGTCTACGACCAGTAACATGTTCATAAGGATGTCGGCGACATCGCTTACGAAGAAATGCTGATGCGGCAAATCAAAAGGCACAAAAAGAGCGTCCAACAAATACAGCCTCGGCTTAAGGAAGCGGGTCGCAGCTATCTCCCACCTTCGACACTCTCCACCTCTTGATTCAAGCACAGAACACGAGATCGTCGTGAACATCGCGCAGCTATCTCCCACCTTCGACATTCTCCACCTCTTGATTCAAGCACAGAACACGAGATCGTCCGTGAACATCGTGAATTTCAAGGAAAAAACGGGTAGTATTATCAACAAAGAATTCAAAGCACAGAATAAACCAAATAAATCAAATTGTGTGTATGCTTTGATAATGATGGTCATGATAAGAGCAGAAGACATTAGTCGGCATAGATGACCATTGTGTGCCGCAAACTACCAGTGACAAACTGAATGGTGTTGAGGACCGAAAAGGACTGGACTTGATTGTCTTAAAGTAAGTTAGCAAGTGCTGCACGGTTCAGCTTACTATGAAATCACGTAACACGTACAGTCGTCTCCAAACACGTGAATCAAATAAAAACAATGCCGCAGCAAAATACGTACAACAACCTAGACAAGTGCATATTCCAAGTGCATCGTGTAAGACTAATTGAATTTACCACACTACCTAACAGAAAGCTCATAGAAGTGTAGGGGATCGTTGGCAAAAGTTGTGCTCATCAACAAAACAGTTGCCGGTGAATCGTAATCTAGCAAGATCGATAGATTGTGATCGATAAAATCCTCAAGAATAAACAGAACCTAATGAGGTCAACACACATTTCTAGCAGCATTGGAGCGGTAAAGCACACGTTACGCACCGCTGAAAGACGCGAAAACAGACGAAAAGACGGAATGGAAACAACTAACTTGAGTTGTTGTTTGCAAGCGTCCACGAAGTTCTTCGTTAGACATGTTAGTTTGAAGCTTGCGCCGAGAATCGTTTACACCCAGAGGACCGTCACGACCGATAACTACAGGTGAACTACTATCCGAGTCAGATCGACCGGCCATCTCTAGCACAACGCCCTGCTTTACGTCCACTGAAGGAAGTGGTTTTCCAATTTTCGGGTGAGTGGCATTTAGGGCAGCTTTCGAGCTTGGAGTGGGTTCCTTGGGATCTTCAGCCTCATCATCACCTTCATGTCCTTTATCTTCGGCTGAGAAAGAGTGCTCTAACAAACGAGCCTTTGATTTCTATGGGAGGAGTGGGGAGATAGCACAGAACAAGCTTCAAAGTTTTCCATTCAGTTGGAAGAAGGCTAAAAGAGCATACATATGGAGATTGATTGAGTGATCAATTGATTACAGATGACAGAATCAGATGACACTGTTCTTTGTGGCCATTTCTATTCCCTGCTACATTGAAAAAGCAAAAGTTAGGGGTATAAGTGGACAACTGATGAAATGGCACGAGGCTGAAGGCTATTAGGAAACAAGTAACAATCGATGCTGTCAGCAAGTTCATTTGGTCAGAACTAAATCCCCAGGAGCGTGATATGAAATATCATGGTACAGATGGAGTGGCTTGTAGAATCGCTCAGATGATCGCTCATGGTGATGTCATAATACCATTGCTCTACTAGTTTCCTGAGATTTCACAAGAACTATCGCTACCCCAGTTAACTTGTCCTTTCATTCAATGTCTGAGCTATGACAGTCATACAACCACAACCAATCGAACTTACCCAAAGGCTGACACGCTGAATATTCAGACTTAGCTATCGGAGTCACTACAATCACAGGTCGAGAACATAACTGCAGCACCCGTCCTGAAAGTGTAGACGGCAACTATCAAAGTTTAAATGATACAAACAAGGAAAGTTAGAGGTCGCACACCAGAGTATGGACCACGGGATAACTCCTACCACCCACTGGTGACCGCTGACAGTATAGATCGTTCAGCTGTAGCACTCTTCTGGTGCCTAGCTACCATGCTACCCGAATGAAGCACGAGGGCTGGGATACTGCCAGGTTGCCCAAGCCTAGACAAGGGGAGTCGAGACGCAGAGTTTGGCTTCGAACCACGAACCTTCCGGTCAGTAAATTCGCACTCCAGCCACTTGAGCCATCTCGCCCTGAATGAACTCAGATGAATCACGGCAGAGTTCTCGAAGCAATCGACTAAATAGGATCTTTTCTGAATGGATCCCAAACATTAAAATAAGCCTTATTAGACCAAAAAGGGCTTCCTCAAGCAGAGGACAAGGTGATCACAAAAATGTGCTACACAGGACACAGTACGATAATCTGTGCTTATCATGCTCCCTAAAGTAGTGCAGCTTCTGCACGTCCGCATTTGAAGTGATAATTGGTGGCCACTTGCTCCAGTCATTAAATATGGATCGGTTGGAAAACTGTCGATCAGCTTAAACAGGGACCAGGGACGATGAAAACTTAATAGAACCGTTGTATTTCTGCTGGTTTGGATAAACAAACGATGAACAAAAATAAATTCGAACGTTTTCATGCAAATTGATAGCCAAACCATTGACGAAATTTAGGCACTGCATATACGTTTGGGAAGATAGAAGAGCACACCACTGGTGTTGGCGCAGTGTAGGGGGACAACAGGTACTAGGAGCAAATCAGGGCAACGAAATGACTGATCGTTGCCCACAGTAACCTGTTTCGCTTAGTCATTCGAACAGGTCCCATGATCAAAATAAACTCACAGCACGGCCATTGGATATGCACTGCTGATTAGCTCTAATAAGAGAGAAACTCGAGTCCAGTGCTTCCCTTTGATGTGTACTCACTGGAATGATTACGCCAGAACAGAAGGACGACCATTCGAACGAGAGTGGTGTGACTATGAACGAAAAACCCAAAAACTGCAAATTCAGAGCAACCCTGAGTTTAACCACAAGGGTAGCCGTGAATTCATGGAAATGGAGACTCACTTGGGGTGAGAAGGTTGATTCGATGGACTGAAGGAAAATCGGGCGGTTGGCCTTATCCTGAAGAAAAAACACATCAGTATATCCATTTAAGCCCCACATTAACATATTTTGATTCGCACGTATAAGAACAAGGTGAAAAGCGGAGAACAAGAGGGTGCGTCCACGTTTTGTGTATGAAACTGGGTGGCAAAGCGATTAATAGGTCAAACTGAATGAAACCTTCGACTGCACCAAAAATATTCGAATGCATTTCTTTCAATAAACGTCACCGGGTTTTTAATGATCACGATTAATGATCACAGGTTCGGCTCAAAGCAGTGAAGTTAACGGTTACTGTTCGTTAAATCCCCTTCTTCGATCACGACGACCGCGAGTATTCTTCCCCTTACAGCTCCTTCATTCGGCTCAGCAACAAACTGTTCAAACGAACGAGACCTAAGCAAAATGCACAGCCAGTTCCCTGGCTTACACCATAGTTAGAGAATGCGTCCACAAGTTTTCGATCCTGAATGGTTAAATTCGTACTCGTCATCTGAGAGAATACTCGACTGTTGAAGAATAATCCACATAACATTGACTGATATAAAAGATTCAGGTAATTATACAATTGTTCGTAACTCTGTTGTAATTTTTTTCGCAGGTTAAACAAAGATGAATCGAAACTAACAAATAAGCGATTCCACTAGACATAGGATGTAAGCTTTCAATAAACATTGTAAGAGAGAGAGATAGCCTGATTTATCGGACCAAACCACACAGGCGGACTCGATTGAAGAAATTCACCGAAACTCTTTTCTATCGGTGACGTCAACTGAGTAAGTGATAAATGGGGAACGTGTGCAGCACTACCCTCCCCTTCCATTCTCAAACACCCAACAACAGTTGTTTGGTGTATGGCCAGCCGAAACGATAAAGGAGAACAATGCAATAGTCTGCTGATTAAGAAGGACAAGCTCGATAGAAGGAGCACCTTGTAGTAGTTATGCGAACATTTGAAANTGAAAGAGTGTATTCTCATATTTATACGCGCATGGTATCAAAAACATGTCCGCGTAGTTTTGAGGGACAGAGTGAGCAGCTGATCTTCCATTATGTGTACAACAGTTTTAACAATGCCCATGTCGCGAAACGTTCATGTGAGGACGTGTTTTATTCACAACAGTTTGGACGTCCCATAAACACGAGAGTCTCATGAAAGAATACATTGCGGGATATGCCTTCAATGAAATAGAGGACAGGGTCACAAAGGACCGAGTGCTAAGCCAGCAGAAGCCGAACAGAGGACTTACTTCCAACCAGGAGGAGTAGACGTTGACCACGGCGCGAAGGGCATGATAACATTGAATTGGAAGGAGGAATGCATGTTGAAGGATGTCATGCAGCAAGTTGATGTTTTGCCGACATCCGTAAAGCACGGCACAAAGCATGGCAACCTAAATGATAAAGAACAGAGGGACAACGTTTTTTTACGGGATACAAGTCCGGGTACCATGGCTGTGGAAATATCACGCGTAAATAAGCAGTGGAAAAAAACCAGACTACCTCTTTCAAAAGCACGGCACAAAGCATGGCAACCTAAATGATAAAGAACAGAGGGACAACGTTTTTTTACGGGATACAAGTCCGGGTACCATGGCTGTGGAAATATCACGCGTAAATAAGCAGTGGAAAAAAACCAGACTGACCTCTTTCAAACCGATTTGCGGTTTCTCTCTGTGCAGTGTTTGGGAACGGTCAACGCTGCTAGAATGCAATCCTGTGGTCTGATCCGAAGGTTGGAGTAAGCCACCAGAAAGTGATTTTCTTGCTTCATTGGAACCCTGGATTGTTAGGTCAGACGACAACGTCTGAGTCCCGGATGAAACTTCAATGCCAAAAGGCCGTGTATCACCCACTGCAGGTGGCATGATCGAATCTTCGGTACTAGAGCCAAACTTTGCCCCACGGGATATACTATCACGAGCCTCAGATGGATCACTAAAAAGAAGCAGGATCGACAATGACCAGCAGTAAGATGTGATCATGCTCGTCGGAGATATTTAGGCCGCTAACCTGCCAGCTCAGCAGTGCGATTGACGAATCAGAGCAAATCGAACAAAGTGAAAAACATTATGAGACCAAGTAAGGCAGTCAAATGATCATTAAATGCTTAAACCGTTCATCTGAGTCGTCAATGAGGGTTTCTCAACGAAAACATGGGGTATGAAATAAATCAGATACGGTACCCTTGCAAGAATGAAAACACTTTCCGTAAATTCCGAGATGACTATTCGACCGGAAAAATGGTTGTTTTTGAGAAGGGAACAACGAGGAACTACGAAGTCTTATTCATAGGACAGGCACAGTTTAATCACCTCAGGTTACTTTAAAAGGCTTCGGTCAGCGCGCGATTAACTTTTTACTTCCAACCGGTGTGAATGTCCCAAGCATTGCGTGGCACTGTATGCTTGTATAAAGTTCGTCACGTCCCGTCAACAGAGTCGTCATCAGTCAATTGAATGAGAAGGCGAAGAAAGATAACTGTATGGAAGTATATCCGGGCGTTTGTCATCATTAGGACATTTCTAATTTCAATACCTTCGATACGTGAAACATCTCGGTGATGTGCCCAGTACACCTGCGGGTGAAACCAAGTCAGATTACGAAGAGTCTAATTGCATTGTGAGAAGTAGCGGGAGTGCTAGTGGCACCTGAAGACTTTGAATATCGACCTGGGTTTGTGAGGCTATTGTGATGTTCCAGCCATTCCAGCGCCTAGAAAGTGCACCTGGTTTGGGTCTGAGACAGTCGTGCTTACTCGAGAGTGGATCGCACTAGGAAAAATCCGGTCACGAAAAATTTCCAGTCAAAATCGAGTAAATTCCCGTGGGACGAGCGCTATTGGTGCTGACTAATTGGGGGAAAGGGATGAATTATATGGACACTTCGCATTGCTGCAAGCTGAGCCAAGCAGCTGACGATTATGGCGGCGAGTCACGTGACCAATAACAGTACACCCATATGAGGATCCTCCCACAGAAGGGAGAAAAACGTCATGTGCTGACCACAATTCCCTGATTCAACCAAATGGTCCCTACCGTGAGAAGGACCTGATGGGCGGAACTGTTTTCATTCCGTGTATTTGAGTTCATACCCGGATACTAGAGCCCTACTAATATACAGCAGCTTGTGGCAAACTACACTCACATACACTGTTTTCAGCACTCATATGGGTAGTGTGATATGCCAGGAAAGCGCTGTTAGACAATTAGCGAAATACATTCCTTTGCATACCAATTTGGTTTTAACGGGAGACTACCTTGCAACCCAGCTGAATCTCTCGTTTGTGACGTTTTTAGGTAACTGAATGTGCTGCACCAAGCCGCCTCATGTTTCAGTTTGTATGATATTCCAGATTCGCGATATAGTGCATGAAGGTAATGCATTGCCCATAAGGTGGATGGATTCAACTGGGTTCCATGTGAGTCTCCCGCCAAAACGAAATGAGTATATTTCGCTAACTTTGTGGAGTTTGAGTTCGCGCAGAACATAAAGTTGGCGTAAGCCCGGGGACTGCGCATATCTGATGAGTCCTAAGAAGGGCGAAATTGATCGTGGGTCGTCGAGTAGTGTGTCACGTATATGCCATCAGATAACATTAGATCTGAGAGATGTGCGGTATCCTGCACGAGGGATAAGCCCTGAATTGAGAGGTTCTTTGTCAGGATATACTGCTGTTCCGCAAAAACGGTCATCACAGTCTACGTTAAGAAGATGGTGATTACATTGTCTGTATGGGAACGAAGTACCTCTAGACTGTCATCGGTCATTTCTAACTGATCTTTTTATTGGATGATAGAGGAAGCTCTGATGGTGGAGTGCATCTTGATCAAAACCGCAAATGAGAATATAATGTATGAGTTTTAACTTCATGGATCGGGCTGGAAATCGACACACAGAATCCTTCCGAACTCGCGCGACCGACCGACACTTAAGCTCAGACATTCTATCCTGGAGCTATCTCGCCGAAGAGTTGTGATTGACATCAGATAACTGCACAGTTTCCCCACTCGGTCATGTAAACTCACAATAGTTGGCATAAACGATAGAAGAAACAAATATCCGCGGTCCAGTCAAACTATGCAGTCTGGATGAACTGATGTTTCATACCAATCGTGAACAGAAGTCAGACGAGCACAGCGCGAAAGTTATACAATAGCTCAAGTTGGTAACCAGGAAAGGGTCATTATACATAGCAGCACACCTGATTGAGTCGACGAAAACAAGCACTAAGTCAGTTCCCTACAGTGAAATTGACAACCAAATACCTACCTGGGAACGGAAATAGAAAACGGTCATGAAGACGAGTTAGTACAAATGAATAATATGCTTAGGGAAATGACTTCCTTTCATAGTTGTCTCTCACCGAAGAGACCAACATTTGGAAAAGAACACTTTTTGTTGATTTCATAAAGCCAATATTGACCGATAACTGCAAGAGAAGCCAATTATATGGACACCAGTGACGTGTTTGCAAGCAGTCATGGGCTTATGTGAGAAAACCGACGACTTACTTGAAGTCGGAACCGCACGAACGAGGATTTGGATGTATAAAGGGAGTCAGCCATAGAACAAATATTTCTTGGTAGATTGGCAGCAAAGTAGGAGAAATGGGATAATCTTGTAGCGAGTCGAGGAGTCCAGGGGAGGGTTCTAGCGGTTTTGGATCAAATGGCTCATAAATTGTATAGGTGGGAGACAGACTGAAGAAATAGGGTGGGAGAGGTCAGGTATCACAAATGGGTCACGAATGATGAGAAGTCATCTGAGTCTATTTGTAATTCACTTCTAGCTGACTGTTCATTCACAAGAATCAAGGTTTTAAAGAGATGGATCGGGTGAGAGGCTAAGACCACAAATTCTCAAAACGGAACCCTCAGTAGTTTTGCACCTGCCCACATAGCTGCACAGGCATAACACCAACTGCACTTCCCAGTATGATAGGCACAAAAAGCGAGTTGCAAAAAATCCAGCCACCAGCTCCTAAAAAATCTAAAACAGGGCAAGTTTCTTTCATCGTACCGCAATGCATTCGAAAAGATGGCAGCCATCTAACACAACACACCCATGGAGAATGGGAACCACACATTTGAGAATATTTCATTTCCCATCGGACTAACAATGACATTCCCATACTACTTTCGAGCAACTTGATAGTTCAAACAAAACTTCGTCCAGGTTAAATAACTTCCCAAGAAGGGATACAACACTCAAGTGGTACACAACTACTCGCTTCTGGTGGTACGAGTCCTGATTAAGGGCTATTTATCTCACTCATGAAGTGAGGAGGGAATACCATCGGCAGCTCCTTATTTAATGATGGATGTAAGAAACGTGGGTACAGATGCATACTAATCCGTGGATAAATTCAGTGAGTGGATCGGACGGTCGGACAGCTGAACGAACTGCTCGGACATCGAGAACTTGCCATTATTGCAAACTACGACCTGAGTTTTCAAAACAGTGTAGTATATCAGGAACAAGTCTCGAGAACAGTAGATCCGCAGAAAAATATCGCATTGGATCACAGGAAGATTGGTAGGTCAAGTTCTCACAAGTTCTTGTGTAATAACAGTGTCTGAAAGTACAATGACTAACATCCCGCTGGCGAACTTGATAAGGACGACAGCGAGGGCGATAGGTCTGATGATAGTTCACAGGAAATAAAAACACTGATACCCAGTGATTGTGGGGGAAAACTGTAAAACGAGGACACAGTGACCTTCAAATAGCGGTACAGAAACCACAGAAACCTTCAGTTTTGACCCGGTTAGTAGACGATAGCAAAGGAATGGGATTAAAAAGAATAACACTAAACCTGCGGAGAGGCCTATCCCACCCGAGGGTAGAACAAGGTTAAAGTGATGCCACATTTCAACGCATGAAATCACAAATATATAGCGGATCAACAGAATACAAATCCAAAACTTTATATCCACAGAGGAGGACGTGAAAAGTCCTTCAAAGGAGACGCATGATTAGAGTACGTCAAAGCAAACGCGGTTACGTCAACAGAAGAACCTGCAAATAATTTTTTTCGCGCACACACCGAAATCAAGACAAGTTCTGGTGGAGATGGAGATGGCTATTGAGCCTGAGTATGAGAGTTCGCAGGAGCGAATGTTAAGTAAAAACTCTAACCAAACTGCACTATCTGCATAGTTTGTTGTGCGCCGAAGTTAACGAAGTGCTCATACGGTGAACTGATGAAACGGAAAGCTGCCACCGATGTGTCAAAAATAGTGATGTAACTAAAAAGCTCATGAAATTGAGTAGGTTGTTGTATCAACGAATGCACGGAAGCCGTTTCAGCTAATCAGAAAGATAGAATTGCGGCGACATTGAAATGCCGTGGGGACAGTCTCCCGGATTATACAAAGCAGGTGGACGAGTTCAGTTTTCACTACTGATCCAGCCCATTTGAATATTTCGACGAACATTCTGTCTTCCAAAGTGGAGTGCGTAGGTCCAAATGCACAGAGACTGGATGTGACAGTGCAAGATAGTCCAAATCTAGATTAGATGGGTTGTTAAACGGTGCTGAAAAATCTGCCTTTCAGGTAGGCAAAAAGGAAAGGTAACCGTTCAGCTGTAAGAACCTGTCGGTGTGTCGTATCGGGGTCACCCAGGAAGCACAAGGGCGAAGATAATGCTAAGTCGCCCAAGCCTAGATAGAAGTCGAGATGTTGAAGCCGGTTTCGAACTACGAACCTTCAGGCTAGTAAGTTTACTCCTTAACCACTGAGCTATCTCGGGGTTCCACCTGGGCAACCAACTTCAGACTTACCCGGCGTCCCGCCAGTCAGGGATGTTTTAGATTATGGTTTTTTGTGTCCCAAACAATTCCTCGTCCATTTGCACGGGATGGGATCTTCCCGTTCTTTTTAACCCACCATTCTCCGCGTTACAAAGCAACTCTGCAACAAATAAATCTGATGGTTGCTGGAGTATCCTGACAACAAGACATAATCGTAGCACATTAACGGAACTAGTCTTAACGCCTTCCTTTTTCGAATCCAACGGTTTCAATAGCAGCGGTTTGACATGATCTTTGATCCCACCGTTTATGGTGCCATGGAGTTGGACAATCGGTGATAAACAACGTCTCGGAAGTTGTGCAATCCTGACTCAAAAAGAATAATACCATCGCTAAGCTGTGATTACATTTTGGGACATAGCTGCCATTCCACCCGAAGGGAGAGCGAAGGTTGAGATGCCACCAGGTTGTTCAAGTCTAAACAGAAGCAAGTCGAACTACGTACCTTACGGTCAGTAATTTCGCACCTTGACAGTAGTATCTGACCCAGTAGGTGCTTGGTATTGAGCCCGACAGACCATAATGCCCGACGATGAGGACCAGCCGTATTTTACATTACGTCAATGCGCAGGCAGTGTTACAATCGGGGTTGCAAATCACTTTTTGTTCTGCGGGCTTTGTTGAGAACTTTTGTCGAACAGCGACATAATCTAACAGATGTTCACATTTACATGTTAAATGCACCCAATTTGTGATTGTAAATTCCAGTGACACATCACAAAGATGCGCTGACCGCCTATGTTGATAGCTGCAATTTCGAACGACCGATTATCTCCTATCATGTTGGTTGCTATGACCAAATAGGGCGATGAGACAATCCACGAATAATGGATATAATAATAGGAGACATGCGCTAATAGGGTTCCCCATGCTCGGTTTCTCGGTGAGGCATCAAAGGAGTGCACAGAAAAGGCGAAAAATGTTGACAGCTGGATCTTCGTGTTGATGTAGTTTGATTCACCCAATATTTCCTTTAATCATGTGGTTCTTCCCGTGAATTTCGAGACTGGTATAGTGCGCATGCAGCATCCTGCAGTCTCCCTTGATCGAACAATCGATTTTCGAGAGAATCGGCTCGGTCGACGTAATGACGTCTTTCGGATCCATCGCTCCCAATTGTGGATCAGATCGGTTTCGGATCTTCATTGCACCTCAGCTGTTTTCGGTCATTTGTCTCAACAGCTGCCTCCTGCAAACACAGCGGCTTCTCGAAAAAAAGCAAAAAAGATCGAACCATGGCACCAAGTCAACATTGCGCCAGGAGGGTACAAACGACGATTCAGGAGGCAGAACCATTAACACACTTCTTTGGATCGTGACTGTTGAGTCCATTTCTCGCCACTGGAAGCGGTTGCATAGTGCACCCAAACGAAAAAAGCTCTATCACGGGATCACATAACAAAATAACCCTTCTTTACAAAACAGTCAAACGTCCTACCATATTGTGTACAGTGGAACAAGAAGAGATATTTTCGAATACGGAGCTTACCATGGAAAAACAACTGGTAAGTAGGTTCTCTTCAGTTGCTCGAAAAGAAACCACAATTGCATGAGGTGTTTTTCTTGCTGCTGCTCCCTCCATGATACCTTCGCCACTTCGGAAACCAGTGAACTGAGGAAGTGCTGAAGTAGGGTTTGTTCGAGATCCTGATTCTGCAACACACAAAGACACACAAAATCTCATCAGCAAGCGACCATCCAACGGGAACTATCTGAAGAAACAAACTTTGGTCCAAATTACCGATTGTTGTTCCTCAACTTGAACGGAAGGCACAAGTGCACCATTATCACCGGGAGAAATCCCAAAGTTGGCTTTAGGCTGAGATGTTACGGGTGGAATAGCATTCTTTTTTCCCGTACCAGAAATCGATCCACTAGCGTCAGGTTTCGATCGTTTCTGGTATTCGGAAATCCAAAACCCAAAGTTTGGAACTAGGCTCGTGAACATCTTGTGACATTTCGGTGTGGCCTTGTCCGCAAGGATTTGATACCACAAAAGGAAAAGACGTATACCAAACTTTCTGACGGAAACTGCATTGCGTTCATTGAGTAGTTGGTCAAGTACGTCCACTGCAAAATTGATATG